TTTGGGGGAAATTTGTCCTAATTAAAGGCGGGGGTGGGGGGGAATATTTGGGAAAAAAAAAAATTTTAAAAAAAAAAAAAAAAAAAAAAAAAAAAAAAAAATCAATTTGTGTGTTTTGGTTGAAATTGTACGAAGAATGTTCCTTTTACGCACCATTCCAAGACAAAGATCCAAATAAACACACCTTGCTCTTCAGCCTGCACAGCTTTCTGTTTGCGCTTCTCCTCCATTCGCTCTCTGTTCTGTTGCCTCTTCAGCAGTCTTTCTTCTTTGTCTTTTGCCTGATAAGTCAACAACAAATCCAAAATTTACATTTTCTTTGTGCGACCGCGCAGCTTGAAAATTTACCATCAACATCAAAAACAAAAGTTCAGGTCATTTAAACCACATTTTTTGTGAACTCACAGCAGATCTGCGACGCTCCTCCACAGTGACCTCATCATCCGAGTCGCTATAGTAACGAGAGTAGAGGAAGGGTTTGTGGACATATGCTTTACGGCGGGGTTTACGCTCCCTGTCTTCGCCTTCCGCTTCCTCACTGGTGTGTTTCCTCTCCGCTTTCTCACCTTCATCTGCAGACAAATCAACATGCACACTAGAACAAATAAAGCTCCGACTCTGACTTTGATTCTTTATAAAAAGTTTCAAATAATTTTAGCAACAGTGAAAAACTGGAGGCAGAGACCATCTGGCGGAAGCTGGCCCTCTTCGGAAGAATCGGAGAGCTGCTCCTCCACGTCACTTTCCTCCTCGAAAGAGGAAAGGTCGCTGGTGTGGACGGAGCTCACCGTGATGTCACTCAGGCCTTCGAGGTCTGAGTCCTCCAAAGAGTATTCTGTAAACCAAATAAACACGATCATTTCAAATCTTTGTTTAGCCTGAAAAAAAAAAAAACATATTGGTTTATGAACTAGATCTCTACTGATCTCGTTCTTCTGGCCCTCATCCATACCTCATGACCAAGAGGTAGGAGTGGCAGCAAAGATTTTTGACCCACCTTTCAATAACTGAACCCGGGCCAATCTGATCAGCCACAAATACATCTATCCACCTACTTGCTTCATAAGAATAGTCACCTTGTAATAAAGCACTAAGGTTTGTAAACCCCTCCAGAAAGAGACTGTAATATTTCTATCATTTCTACAACAAGAATATAAATAATATCTTAGAAATAAAATAGAAAAATAGCTAGATTTGATAAATTATTATTTTCTTTTCTTTAACTTTCCAAAACTAATCAATGAATGAACACATTTAAAAAATGAGACTTAAAAATTATGTCACAAAATGTTATGTTTACAGTGGAAACACCCTTCTTAAAAAAAAAAAACAAGCATAATGAAATGCTTTATTAAGAACTTTGATTGAAAACAAGAAAATAAATATCTATTAACACAAATATACTGTACTCAGTGAATTATGCAGCTGTTTGTCCATAAAACATAAAAATAAAAAAGAGCTCACCCTCTTTTATCCGCTCTCTGGCTTTCTGCTTGGCTTGACTCGTAGATTTCACTCCCTCATCATCAGACTTCTCATCGGAGATCTTCCCACTCACTTTGCTTGTAGGTTTTTCTTTCTTTTCCTCTGCTTGCGCCGGAGCTCCTGCTTCCTCCTCCTCAGTTTTAACCTCCTCTTTTAGTTGTTCTTTTTCCTCTTCCATCTGCTCTTCTAAGCTTTCTGTCTTCACTTCCGCTGTTTGGATTTCTCCTTCCACTGCCTCCTCCAGCGACCTTCCTTCCTGGTTATCGTCACTTTCTTCAACAACCTCCATGTCTTGCTCGTTTTCCTCCACCAGCTCCATTGGTTCATCCAGAACTTGGGTTTTACCGCCTCTTTCGGCTGCTGAGCTGGTCCTGACGTTTGCCTCCTGATTAAGAGAAGTTATGGTATCCAGGATGGACATGGCGTTGCTGCCGGGAGTTGAAGCTGATGATGAAGCTGTGGACAAATCAATATGTGTTTAAGACCATTTGTGAATTTTGTAGCAGAGTAAACAGAAAGAGATTATTCTGCAGTCATGGAAAGCATCAGGGGAATTTACGAAAAGTTACATACGTTGTTCAGGAACGCTGCTGTCCGTCTTGATCTCTGCTGGTGTCAGAGGAAGTGGCGGCTCCTCGGAGCAGCTGCCCGGAGACAGAAATTCACGGACCACCCTCTCCACCTGCGGCCTGAAGATGTGATTGACTTTGGGATCAACCACCTGGGCCACAATCCTGTCCACCCCCTGCTCCAGCATTCCAGATCTGTGAGGGAAACAAATACAAGAAGTGTCAGAAAATCACATATACATGTAACTGAAACCAGATACTAACAAAGATTGCTTTTAAAAATAATAATAATAATAAAAAACTACACACCACTACTTTTTTTCACTGTCTGAGATTAAACCAGACAAAAATGTTCCTGTTTTAGATCAGCTAAATTATTTTGATTTCCTAAATGCTAGAACTAATTTTCTTTTCATTACTCCACTTTGTGACTAATTTAGTGTTATGCTGAGGAAGACCCAATGGCTCTTGAGATGTTGCTTCAATACTTTTACATAATATTCTTTTCTCATGATGCTGTCTATTTTAACTTTATTTGCTGTGTATAATGACACTCTTAGCAGCTTCAGCCAGAAAAAAACGAGTGTATTTTTTGGACATAGTAGCCACCGCCTCCTGCCTAAACAGCAATGTGTCCATTCTCATGTGATTAATACTTACAGATAAACGTGGCACTTTGAGGAAAACTGTGTCAAGAGTAATCTTAGTGTGTGTATGTTTCTGATTTTGAAGAAGTAATAAAAGTGACTAAAACGTTCTGGCTGATGGAATAAAATACCATGTGTTTATGATAAATATCTGGCTTCAAAAGTACTGATTATTAAAAAAAACTGTGTTTTTGTTAAAAGATATAAGAAAAATATACAGTTTTTCCCCCTTACTGCAGGACGAGCTGCCGAATGTTGTTTCTCAACTGGTTTTTGTTCAGATGAGGACTCCATGTGTGATTAGAAAGGTGATTGGAGACAAAGTTGTCCACTCTTTGCTTCAGGTTCAGGTAAGCTGGCTGCAAAACATTAATCACAAGTATTTCGCAAATATCCACTCACAGACAAACAAAAAGCTACAAAGTGATCTACAAAGTGGGCATGTTGACAATGGTTGCTTGAGGACCCCAAGAAACTCATTGTCAACTACAGTGTGACAATGCGGTGGGTTCTGTAAAGATTTAATAATCTTTTATTTTTCATTTACAACTAATTGTGATTCAAATTAAATTGTAGACTCGTTTTGAAACAAATCCGATGAGGGGAAAAAGAGCTCACATTGAGGAACTAGCAAAAGATATTTAGTAAACATGACACGGATTGAAAAACACAACAGAACATCTACTTAAACTATAATCTTTTCATGAGCAGTATAAACACAGATACAGAAGAGGAAGTTATGATTTCGACCGTTACCTTTGTATCAACGTCTGCTAGACAGTCCCTCCTGAACTGGTCGAAGAGTCCCTGTGTTTTTAAATGACTGACGATCATTGAGACCAGCTGCGGGTCCCCCGGAGGCAAACCAGCCATGTTTCACTGAAACCTGGCTGTATTTTATTTGTTAAAATAGAAGAGAAATTGAATAAACATCAGGGGATGTCCCATATAAGAGCACAAGCTATGTGTTTGGGGATGTGACGTCCACTAGTAGAAAAGCGCTTCGAGAATGAGCCGGAAGAACTTGGCAATGGTTTGCCCCACCAAAATAAAAGTCTAACATTCAGCTAAAGAACAAAATTCCAAACTTTTGAAGGATCTTTTAAAGATTTTTTTTATTTTTTTTTTTTAATTTAGTGCGTTTTGTCAGTGGTAGTATTGTCTATTACAAACTGTGTTGAATGTAACACTAATGTTTAAAAGCCATCGTTTTTAGATGTATGTCTTTTCAAACATTCATTAAAGCAGTGCGGATCAGAGCTGTAATCGATTCTATTGAAGTATCCAAAAACCTCTTTAACCTCTCCTTTGTGGAGCTGATCCACTCATCCACTTAAATTATTTATTTATTTATTTATTTATTTTTGCTGATTGTTAATGTAACGTTTTCTACAGTTGTGTTTGACTGGAAATATTTTTTTTCTGCTGTCAATGTGTACGTTTTAAAACGAGAGCGCCCCCAAGTGGCGTCAAATTCTGTCTACAAAAGAAAAGAAGGTATGTCTCAGCAAATTAATTCGATTCTGAGAAGCCAGCAAACAAGTTAAAAAGTACATTTGCCCCATTTCAACAACGGTATGTTAAATACTGTTTTGATAAAAGTGCATAATTTTTGGTCATCAAATGTGTTTTATAGTTGACTTAGAGCGTCACACAGCAAAATACTCATGCGTGAAACTATTTGACGAAAACTGAAAATTCTAGCAAAATGACATCCTCGACCTTTTTAGTTTTAATCGAAGGAGACAAAAGCTACTTTGGCAGCGGTGGGATTCGAACCCACGCCCCCGAAGAGACTGGAGCCTTAATCCAGCGCCTTAGACCGCTCGGCCACGCTACCTGATGGCCTACACCCTCGAAAAATTGCTGTCATCAACAGCTACAGGGCAAATTAATGACTGATTATATTTATATAATTTTGCAGCTACAGTAATGGAATCTGTCATTACTGTCACTACTAAACTTTATTTGGAACTGCTATATTAAATACAGAGCTCAAAGTTGGTCAGCATATTTAAAAACAAAAAATTTGTTAACCTTTATATGTGTTGCAAAGACACATGTAAAGGTGTCTGTGCTATTTAAGAAAAACTCTTTACATAGTACAAAATTGTTTGCAGAAAAAAATAATTTTAAGAATTTTAAAGAGATAAAATTATGCATACTTTCCAATCTGAGCAACAAGCTTGCCCATCTTGATCTGAAGAAAATACTTGCATGAGCCAATAGTAATATTAGCAGCAGTTTTTATTTAAAGGCAGTATACAACATCTTAAAAGCAACACACTGAACTACTAATAGAAATACAAGAAACACTGTATTATAAAAGTTAATTGCAAACAAGAATCAATCTATTTTGATAACAATGCTTTTTCACTTGGAAGCAAAAGAAGTGAACCTTAATTAAAAAGACCTCCTATTGAAAGGTTTCAGCTAAATGAGGCAGATATCCGCCGTTTATCGGTATGATGTATCCCGAGTTACAAAATGCAATTTTCAACTGTCCTTTTTTTTGAATGACAGTTGAAAACGTTCAGAAAACAGGCCGCAGGCTGGTGGGTTCAGGGCTTCTTGGTAGGGCAGGTGGGAGGAAGGAGTCTGCGTGAGTTAGCCTTCACCCATGGGTGGTCAATAACATTCTGAAGAGGCAGACGGTCTATGGGGTTGTGGCGGAGCAGCTTTGAGATCAGGTCCCGTGCACCATCAGAGATGACTTTGGGGAAGTTCAGATCCACCTAAAAAAACAAAACAAAAAAAAAAACAAACAAAAAAAAACTGATCAGCATGGTGAAATATACCTAGGTTTTTATTTATTTCATAACACAAGGTATTTAGAACCAATACTGACATACAATATATTGTTTTAGCAGGAACTAGAATAGTCATTTTTAAATTAAAGACACGTTTTAAATGTGAAAGTACCTTATCACCATAATTAGTTTACTCAAGGTCATATTGTAATAACCTTATACAGAATCATTCCTACTTTGAAGCCAAATATAGCAAAATGTCACATTATTCAAAGTAACCAGACTCTTCTGTGCATAACTACTGAATTCAGCAGTCTAAAATTATTATACCTGCAAAGAAACACAAACCTTCGTAATCCTCTTGTATGTTTCTGAATGACTCGCTGTTTCAAAGGGCGGGTTGCCAACTAAGCATTCGTAGCATAGGACTCCGATGCACCATAAGTCCACTTTCTCGCTGTGAGTGTGTCCCTCAATCATCTCAGGAGGAAGATAATCCAATGTCCCGCACATGGTGCGACGTCTGTAAGGAGGATTAATAAGAGCATAAAAAAGCTGAAATAAGTTACTTAGCAGCATAATCCAACAGTGGTTCTCAGAAATGTTAGGTTCTTACCTTAGAGAAGGTGCATGGACAGACCAACCAAAGTCAGCTATTTTCAGTTCTCCGCGAAAACCAAGAAGTAGATTCTCTGGCTTGATGTCGCGGTGGATCACTTTTTTCTCATGGCAGTACATCAGCGCGTCAGATATCTCCTCCATGTACTGGAAGTTTAAATTAACATTTGATTAATGCACTGAAGCAAATATACAAGGAATTGAAGACGACGTCTTCCGTTTTTCTTTTTTTAAAATCAGCTTTTACCGTTGCAGTGCGCTGATCATCAAACCGTCCATACTTCTGGAGCTCTTTGTACATTTCTCCACGTGGAGCGTACTCCAGTATCAAGAAAACCCTCTTGCGATCATGGAAATAATTGTAGAAACGCAGGATGTTAGGATGTCTAAGAGGAAAAAAAAAAAAACTGAATAAACAGACTTAGCATGTGTAGAAATGATCAAATAAGATATGTCCTTAAAATAAAAAAGAATAAAACAAGGATCTATCACCGTTATCTATTCAGACCAACTCAAAAACCTGTCAAATTACAACCACGCACTTCAGTGTTTTATATGACATTTTATGTGCAGTTGTACTATAATATATTCATATTTGGAAAATAGATAAAACAATACTCTGTAAAATGCCCATGGCTTAAGATACTGCTTTACAAGCTAGCTAGCCCATCTTAAAACTTCAAGAGAAGTTTGCACCGAATCAGAGTAGAGGAAGACGAATAATGAACACCTCAATCATTTCAAAAGAACAAAACAAAAACAAACAAAAAAAACCCATTATGTATAATTTGCCCTCCACTTGAAGTTTATACTCTACTTCGTATTGGTCTCTCTAAATTCTAACAAAAATACATAAAATGTGGCAAAAGCATGACTGACTTTGCAAGCTTTATTCTGAAGAAAACAGACATTATCATAATTTTTACCTAAAATGTTTCCAGAATAGTCAAATAACCATCACAAAGATGGTGTTTTACTACAAAATTAAACTCAATAACTAATCTTAAGCAGTGCAACCAATACCTTATAGGTTTGCATTGTGATAAATATTTACGCAAATACCTTGAAAGATAATATTCGAATCTTTGTTGTGACCATTTATAAGTTTAAGCCAACTTTTTAGCTGTCCAAAAATGCTAGAAAAACGCCGACGTTAAATTTACACAAAAAACACAAGTCTAACAGAAAAGAAATATGACAAAACCTGAATTACTAACTTCAGATGTGATTGAATTTCAATTTCTCTCCTCAGTTGATGCTCCACACCTTCCTTCTCCATCTGGGACTTAAACAACACCTTCAGCGCCACAATAAATTGGTGCTTCTTCTCCTTTGCGAGGTAGACATTGCCAAACTTGCCCTTTCCAAGAGGTCGACCAATGTCGAAGTCGTCAATTGTAAATTTCCTGATATAAAGTAGAAAAATGTTTATCATCATATAGCAAAATACACAGATAAGATGCTTTTTTAAATGCACTTACTTTGGTGGTGAATTTGAAGATGAGCTAACACATTCTCTCCCAGGACCTTAAAGCAATAAATCATGAAAGACTACTACAGATGTGAGTTTATGCTAATCTGATTTGCACATATAAGGAAAGACTTACCTGCAACATAACTTTTCTCTGCATCAGCTTTTGGCTTCACAAGAACACGTTGTGGTCCAGTCACACTTACGGGTGTAAACTGAAATTCAGAGTAGAAAGTAAGAAGGGCACAATCATACCTTATAACAAAAGTTACTTCAACCAATATTGAATCCCATGTTCCAAGTAAATGTATTTTTATAGGCGTACCACAATAAAGGTTGAGCTTAACTTTTTTTTTAAATTGAGAATTACCACTAACCTGTCTTTGAAGACCCTTCGGCTCATAATTTTCTTTATTCTGTAAACAAAGGAAAAAAAGGATCAGATTCTACTGGTCCCCGATTCTGAAGAAATGTACCTTAATACATATTTGAGTACCGAGTCAAATTCATCTACAGCTAAAATTTTCTACTTCTTGCTTTTTTTCACCAATATAGGAGGTAAAGTAAATGCCAGGATTGTATTACGTTGAAAATTACTGGCAAAATGGTGTTAGTACGATCTAGCCTAGTTAAACAAAGCTAGGCATTCACTCTAAAAACTTTGAAGAACCCTGACGTTAAAGTTAATATTTCAGATCCCAGAGTTTACTGTAATCACCACTTTACATCATGTTTGGTCATTTATAATAAAGCTTAGCTGAAAATAGGTAATTCTATGTGTACAGTTTGGCCTCCTGTTAACGTTATTTGTCTGAAGACACGAAGCTAAAATTAGCTAAAGACTGCATCAACAACATATCCCGAAAAGCTGTCCAAAAAACCTAAAACTATATCTACTTGTATCTAATTGTTGATATAAAAACGTAATAATTACCTGCATTTCAGAAACAAAGAAAGGTTTTAATTTTAAAACCGTTGAGAGTCCAACTTTGACTTTAAAACCACTCAGGCCGCCAACGTTTTCAAAATGTCTGTTTGCTCACACAGGATTTGTCAGTCATGTATACACAAATCCATCCCATTGGTTGGAACTGCTAGAGGAAGGAAGTGCGTGATTGGTCCGTAATTTCTACGACGCTACCCTTAAACCATTTTGATTGGATAAATCCCTCCCCTTCCACTCTAAACGTTCGGTTTTACTCTCATAGTGGTTGTACTCTTGCAGTAAATTTAGTTTTAAGTTGGATATTTTACAGACACCGTCTCTGCGATTGACTAGAGGCAGCAATGGCTTTTCATGCCAAGACGTGTCAACCGGTTAGAGCATAGAGGACCAAAACAGACATAAGAAATAAAAGCATAAATATATATTTAGTTTTTCTTTTTCCTTACACACGAATTTCCTTCAGGTAATATATGCATTTTCTTTTTCATGTCCCCCTACATATGAGTTTCCGTCAAGTAATGTATACATTTTCTTTTTAATTTCCTCTAAACATGCAAACGGAAAAACAGCAAGTAGATATACAGCGAGCAGAAAAGGGAGAAGCAAAAAAAGACTAAGCAAAATATCTATTTTTCTTGACAAAAATGCATATTTAGGGGAAATTAAAAATAAAATATATACATTACTTGACGGAAACTCATGTGTAAGGGGAAATGAAAAAGAAAATATACACATTACTTCATGGAAACTCATGTGTAAGGAAAAGGAAAAACTATACATATATTTGAGCTTTTATTTCTTATTAAAACATATATTTATGCTTTTATTTCTTATGTCGGTTTTGGTCCTCCATAGAGAAGAGGGGACTTACCTTTTCTTTAAATGGTTGTTGTTGTGGATGTTTTCTTCTGCTTAAAAATAAAGATCAGCACTTCAAAACTGTGTTACATTTGCTCTTGTAATGTTTGTCAGCTGTTAAATTTTGCTTCATGATGGTAAAATCTTTCAATGGGAAAAAAAAGTCAAATTAAAAGAAATCTACAAGGAGGCAAATACTCTTTCTTGGCACTTAACATGAAGTTAAAACCAAAGTAGAGAAGCTTTACCCAAAGAAAAGCTTCAAAATACTTGACATTTTCAAAAACAAGGAAAGACAATTTATGACTCAGAATTTATTTGCAAAAAAATATTTTCAACAATTTCATTATTACAAGATTTGAAGTCAAATGCAACTTTATTTAGATCCTTACTCCAAATCTTTCATGATTTTTGTTGATAATAAAATAAAGACATTGATATAATTTTCTACTCATCATCTTTAAAATTCACATCAGCAAAGACTCAATGAAAGAATATAGTCATAAAAATGTTAAACCAGCCTTCACATGAGAAAATACATGATTTTCTGAGTGTATACAAAGTTAGAAAGCAGTTAGGCAACAGGAAACAGGTGGATTGTTTCTTATGGCATCTTCAGTACTTTGACTCAAACACCTGCATGTCTGTTGACAGCCAACAAGTGAATGTTCTGCTTTGTCTTTCATTAAGATGTTCTGCAAATGACTTAGTTTTTTCTCAATGTGAAAACACATTTCTCCTTGCGTAATAACCTTAGTTACTTTAAACAGGGATGAGCAATCCTGGTCCTCGAGGGCTGGTGTCCTGCAACTCTTAGATGTCTCCCTGGTCCGACACACTTGAATCCAATAGCTGAATCACCTCCTAAGTGCAGTCAAGTTCTCCAGAGTTCTGCTAACGACCTCATTATTTGACTCGAGTGTGTTGAAGTAGAGCTACATCTAAAAGTTGCAGGAGACCGGCCCTCGAGGCCTGGAATTGCCCACCCTTGCTTTTAAACCGACTGGTTGGTAATATAGTAACAGTAAGATAATACTTGTAGTTAAACTTAACTGTTACTTGATGAACATGCAGCTCTGCAGAAACAGTTCTTAAGAATTTTGTTTCATCAAAGTGTTCAAGCAAATCGATGTTTTGAAAAACGTGATCTTTTAAAGATCTAACTACGAAAATCTGAAAAATCTAAAGTTTCTTTAAAATAATTTTCTTTGTTTCTTTTTTTGTGTGGCTTTGAATGAAAATGTTAGAACTTTCTCTGCTTGAACTGATAAATTATGTGTATTCTTTACTAGGCATAACAAAACTAAGAGCTCTACAATCGAGGCCATATCCAATCAAGATAGTCTAGCTCTTTTTTCCCTATTACATTGACAAATTTTGTAAAAACATATTCACAAACTGTTAAACTATAGTCTATAGACATTGTAAGACCCTGTCATGTTTTCTATGTTGCCTATAGAAACTCCAAAATCTCCCAGTAACTGTCTTGTAAAGGGAATAAATGCTTGTTAGCCACTTGGATAGATTCAGTCTACATTTACCTGAACAGAGCAGTTAGTAAAAACCAGCGAGCATGATGGCAATAGACCAGCCAGTGAGCGGCGCAGACTTGGGAAGGGATCAGTCCCATCCAGTGTCCTGTTCTCATCATTACTTTCTCCACCAGTACCTCCCTCCTCATTCTGCTGCTCCTCACCACCTTCCTGCTCCTGTTCTTCCTCTGCAGGAGGACTCTGCCGGGGCTGGAATGTAACGTCTAAAAACTCCAGCTGGCGGAGCCCGCGGAGCATCCTGCAGCTCCGCACGATCTGCAGCTCGCTGAGTGTACAGGCCCAAAGGTGCAGACATTTTAGGTCCTTCAGACGGCTGGCACAGAGCAAGCCCGGTCCCACCTCCTTCCCACCAAGACTCAGCTCCTCCAGTCCAAGCCACCCTGCCCCCAATCCAAGGGAGGCCATCTGTAACTGGTAGCCCTGTCGTCCTGTAATGCCTATTTCAAGATATTTGAGTCTTGAAAGCCCTTCCAGGCCTGAGAGCCCTTCTTTGGCTGCACAGCTCCTAAGTCCATTTGCTGTTACACGAAAGGTATCGCGTAACTCCAGCCGACTGAGCCTCTCCCAGGATGCCAGATTCTGCAGATGCTGGTCTGTAAAAGATGGGACGTTGTTGAGGACCAACGTCTCGACACCGATTCCTGAAGGAGAAGCAATCCCCTTCACTTTCTGGCAGCGTCCTTTCTGTTGAGCACCAACGCTACACGTGGCTTCGGCTCGTTCATGAGGTAGAGCAGGTGAAGTAGGCAAGCTTTGATTGAAAAAACTACGAGGCAGCTCACAGCCACGCAACTCTAGCACCCGCAAAGATCCAGGCAGGATCTGGCAGTTTGGTAAGCTTCTGAGATCAGCATGCAGAAGACAGAGTTTACTCAGGCGGGGACATTTGGTGGACAAAGCCTTGAGCCAAGACTCGGAGAGAAAGGTGCCGCCTCGGGCAGAGAGCAGCAAACCACGCAAGCGAAGGCACCTCAGTCCACAACCCAGGTACTGTCGCAGAAGGAACCAAAGGATCCGGGACGTTACCTAATACACAGAGGACAGACCATGAATGGATGTGTGAGAGGTGGAAAGAAAAAAAACTATCCATTTCTATCACTAACTGCATAAGGTGCCCAAACACATAGAGTGACATAGGAGGATAATAACGTATCTGTAGACAATAGCATCATACATGAACATTATGTAAAATTGCTTCACACACAGCATTTTTAGAAAATAAAGAAGTATAGTATTTTCACAAACATTTTTTGTAATAAAGATGTAAAGTGCTAGTCAGGATAACTGGGGCTTTACACAGTAAATTAATAAAATAGAAATATGGTATATTCTATATCACACAAAACGGTAGTGAAAAGAAAAATATATACATTCTGAATTGAACATTGATATGAGCAATTTGGTCACGGCTTTTACAAGTCACGTAAACCTTTCTAATATTTTCTGACACTTCACTGGTACACATTCAAGTAGAATCATTCTAAAAGCTTGTCCTCATCAATATGGCTTTTATTCAGGTCAGAGTAAAAAGGGCAGATTGCAAATTCACACCAATCTTTTCAGATTTTTATTTGTGGAAAGTTTTGAGATCCCTGTATCCGTTAATTTTTCCCTCCCTCCCAGTTACGAATTACTTTGTATTGCTCTAAGAAATACAATCCCAATTAAAATATATCGAAGCTTGTGGCAATGTGGAAAAGTTTAAAGGACGTAAATACTTTTGTAAAACAAATTATGAACAAAAATATAGTCTTACCCCTTTCCATGCAGTCAGATCAACTGTTCTCCACAGTCTTTGGTCTTTAACGAGGCGTTTCCATCTCTTGCACACTCTACAAACACGGCAGGAAAAACAAAAGCAACAACAAAAAAACCTCATTTGAATGAGTCACAACAAAGAAAAAGCTGCTTTTTGTTTCACAAGCAAAAATACTTACCTCCCAGCTCTGACGAGCTCTCTGACACTTAAGTATGAGAGTACGTCAATTAAAATGTTCTCTGGGAAGTAGTCAAGATTACAGCCTTTAAATTCATCCATTTTGTAAACAAAACTCTCAACACGGACCTATATCCTGACGCACAAGGGTTGCGCCTAAATCAGCAATCCCCAAGAAACAGCTGCCCTTACACTGAGTGACCTAAACCGGTGATGAAATCACAATTATGTATTAATTTTCGCTGGTACAATAGCGACTCGGTCGATGCAGCCTTTCTCTAAATGGCACTGGAAAAAGTATTAAAAAAGAGCAAAGGACTGCACCTTATTTAAGAAGACTGTCAGAGGAAGTGTTGCCACCTAACGTTCATTAAGGGAACAATCTCTTGCGCTTGCGCTGTTTACCGGTGTTGCGCTGAAAAAGGTATACAACCATAAGCATGTAATTCAGTCACCGGAAGCGCCTTTTTAAGACATTTTTATTCTTCAATAACTTCTGTTAAATTCAAAAATAGTACATATACTTGCGCTTTCCAACTAACAATAAAATCATAACGCATTTCATTATGTTATATATTTATGGTAGCAATTAGACGCAGGCTCAGTTCCTAGGATTTTCACCCGGAAATTCTCTTGTAGCTCAGAGAAAATGCATTTTTTTCTAATAATAGACTATTTGACAAGATTGTTGGAGAACTGATATCAGTATAAGGCATTTAATAGCACTGGAAAACACGCGTTACTTTGTCCATTCGCTTGCGAGAACACGCTAGCAAACGTAAACAGGAAAACGAGCGTCTTTGAAATGAGCTTCCCCTGACGGCGTCGCTTTTGTCGACACAACACCGGACAAGATGGCGACCAGCAATGGTGGAGGAATGGAAGTGGATGGAACAGGCAAGTAATTATAATTTAACCCACCACATAAACCTCGCACCAACATGAATGACCATGGAGGTTGCATCACGTGTTGGATATTTTGGTTGTAAGTGATCGTAACTGGAGATTTTGTCGTGTTTTAAGGTTGCTGACACAACCAGGATAACGTTCACATCTCTGCCTTCTGTTATTTTTCACTTTGAATGTTAAACAGCCACTTCTCATTCACTCTGTTCCCGAGTCTGAATGTATTGCGTCGATCTTAGTCTTTACGCACCGACAATATTTTAATGAATCTTTGTTTTATTTGCCTATTTTAGTCAGCAAACAAAAATGTCACTTGAAGATCACAGCGCACCGATAGTATTTAATCTGTGCATAGTAACGTTAACCATACATTTGGTATTGCATTCCTTTTTAACAGTTTGGAAATGCATTTCCGCCTGGTTCGGTGTTATTCACTTAATTGCTCATGCACTACCTAATGTCAACATATATTAGTATAATTCTGTTAGAGCACGTCTTTAGCAGGTCTTTGTGTGTGTTTTAAATTACAGAATTCAGCCTGATGATGTCACTTTTTATTATTACTGTGACATGCAAACCCCTTGGAATAAGCAGGATTTTGCTGTTTAGAGGTAGACATAAAAATCCAGAACAAGAGAAACTCTAAAATTTAAATAAATGTTGAAACTAAGTTTGCAAATAATCAAAATAATCCAATAATAAAATATAAGTAAATTAAATTGTGCAATTGTTTTAAGCAACTGCAATAAGCATTTATTAACAAAAAATTACAAAAAAGAAAAAAAATATTGTTCTAAAATGTGACAAAACTAGAGGCTAAAATTCAGTAAAAAAAAAAAAAAAAACAACAGCCAAAATACACTGAATAATTGCCAAACACGTAAAGTTGAGGTTGATCTGGATAAAGTAGCAGAAGCAATTCAGATGGCCTATATGTAAGTCTGCTAATTAGTGGGTTAAACAATTATAAACTAAATTTGACTGTGCTTAGTTATCACTAAGACCAGACTGGAGTGAATGCAAACAAATTTAAAATATCTATGTAATTATATTTACTTTGACTGATCTGATCTAAACGCATGGTTTTGGCTTATTGGATAATCTGATAACTGGCACTGCCTCCTCTGCTGATCTCTTTTCATTCTTGTTTGTAGCCATTATTAATTCTTTTGTCGTTGTTGTTTTTGCTTATGTAGTCCAGATTTTTGTGTCTTTTAGTCAATTTCCTGCTAAAGCTCACCTTGTGTGTTTCTTCATATATCTGCAGCCAGCCCCAGTGTTATGGCCTCAGGGGTCACTGGGAGTGTTTCTGTGGCCTTACACCCTTTGGTTATCCTCAACATATCAGACCACTGGATACGCATCCGGTCCCAGGAGGGCCGACCAATGCAGGGTATGTGTGATTTAACTTCAGTTCTTTACTCTTTAGCATATGGTTATGCATTTATAAAGACAGTACCATGTTAGAGTTTTTTTTTGGCATATGTTGACAAGCATTTATATTTAAGAACAACAGAAGTTTGATTATAGCACCATTAATTTAGATACACATCTGTTGTTAATTGTCTGCTCTGTCTTCTCAGTGATTGGCGCTCTGATCGGGAAACAGGAGGGTAGAAACATTGAGGTGATGAACTCCTTTGAACTAATGTCTCACACCATAGATGAGAAAGTGCACATCGACAAGGAGTATTACTACACTAAGGAGGAACAATGTAAGAATCAATGATTTCATTGTCAATGCCAAAGAGAACAGTTTGACAAATATAGAATAGCATAAGACAATTTCAAGGAGCATAAATTCAGCGTTTGTGAAAATGTTGAATTTTAACATTTTCACAAGTTAAAATTGGAATCTTATTGGAAGAAATAAATAAAATGAAAGCATTATTTCTAGTCATTTTTCCGACTTTGGTAACTTGCGGAGGAGAGACAAAAGTATTTGTAAAACTTGTCTTAAACCAAGTAACTTCATGAGTTGGAAAGAACTGAAAGGCATGAAAACTGGTTACAATAGTTTCTGAAAAATTATGTCTTCACAAAACAGAGAAATAAATAAGGATCTGAGATATCGTGACCATAATCCTCTACTTCATCTTTCTTCTTTGCTCTGAGGGAAACAACCATCTGGTGCTAACATTTTCTATGCCTGCCAACCATTTCTTTGCAGATTAATGTAACAAAATTGAATTACATTTCCAATAAAACATTGCCTTAACCCTTACTTTTCAATGTAAGTGGGTCTTCCAAATGAACAATGGCACTGACCATGCCCCCCAAATCAGTTACAATATGGCTTAAACACAACAGATTTAATGTTTGGTTGTGACCGTCACAAAGCCCTGTAGAACATTTGTTTGTGCAGCAAACAAAACTTATAAAATGTGACACCAGTTTTATGTTCCTCAGTTAAACAGGTCTTCAAGGAAATGGAGTTCCTGGGTTGGTACACCACAGGTGGTCCTCCAGACCAGTCAGACATTCATATCCACAAACAGGTTTGTGAACACAAAAGCCAGTGGCAGCAGTTTAAGGCTAAAATCAGTGATCAAAATGATGAAACATGAACCTTATTTATGTGTTCCTGTTTTCCTTTTGCACTAGGTGTGTGAGATCATCGAGAGCCCCCTCTTCCTCAAACTTAACCCGATGACCAAACACACTGACGTAAGTCTACCTGCATTTCCAGTTCAAGGCTGAAGCAGCTGTAGGTGGATTTCATTTTGATCCCGCCGCTTCCGTTTCGTTTTTTTTTTCCTTCAGCTTCCTGTTAGCGTTTATGAATCTGTGATAGACATCATCAGTGGCGAGGTAAGACTTCCGACCCAGCTAGGTCGAAATGCTTTTTTTCCTACCATATTAACTTAGTTTCCTGTTTATTTATGGGGTTTTTTGTTGTTGTTGTTGTTTTTATCCAGGCCACCATGTTGTTTGCTGAGCTGACATACACTTTAGCCACAGAGGAAGCAGAGAGGATTGGTGTTGACCACGTGGCTCGAATGACAGCCACTGGAACTGGGGAAAATTCGACTGGTAAGTAAGCTTATCGCCATAAATCACTTAATTGCAGCTTGATAATTTTTTATGTACATGTATCACAGATTACATGAGAATATACAATCCCTTTTCATTCAGATCAATTTGATCCCAATGAATTTTATACTTGAGTAACTGGTTGCTTTGACACTTATTTGTCCCTCTGTTTTCTGCGTTAGTGGCTGAACACCTTATTGCCCAGCACAGCGCGATAAAGATGCTCCACAGCCGAGTAAAGATCATTCTAGAGTACGTCAAAGCAGTCGAAGCAGGTAAGCAATCATATTTATGAGGCACAGAAGGGGAAAGCATTTTAAGAAATGTATATACAAAGCAGCTGTCACCAAATATTTCTTCTCCTTTTTTTTTTCTTTTCAAAAACGCCTCCTTAATTTTAAGTTGCACTTGGACTACATCCTGAAGCGCTATCCCACTGTATCCATCTTTCTTCTGTGTTTGTGTGACAGGAGAGGTGCCGTTCAACCACGAGATCCTGCGAGAAGCGAACGCTCTTTGCCACAGACTGCCAGTCCTCAGCACCACAAAATTCAAAACTGACTTCTATGATGTATGTAATCCCCATAACTGAGGATTCTTCTTTTCTTTTTTTTTTTTAACAAGCTTATTCAACTGTCTATGTCATGAAGTAACAAGCAAAATTCTTAGCGTGAACACTTCAATCAGCTGATACTTCATCTGCACCAGAAGCAGGAAAACACGAGTTCTAGAGATTCGAGAGCAATTATTTTTTTCTTTAACACTGCCTGATTATATTAAAAGACCAACAGTTTTATAGAGCTGAGTCAGAAATGGGGTTTATGAATTCAGGGGAAAACGATGAGCAGTAAGTGGCGCGTCGACCTATTAAAACTCCATGACTGTGAAGAAAATTGGAGACAGGCTGTGTTATTGTGACGCAAACTTTTTTTTTTATTTTTCATTCAACCAATCAAAACACAAATAAACTCCAGAGTTTTAAACTTGGCACAAAAATGATTCGTTCCTCGGTCCAGTGGCAAAGTGGTTCTGGCTCGGCGCTGGGTCTGGCTAAGTCGATTACTTCTTTACACAACAAAATTAAGGCTGCAGAATATATCAGGAATATATTGTCTGTACAATATCAGTGTATGCAAGATTCTTATTGCAAGGACTGTTTGGAGTCCAAATGTTATCAACTAATAATTTATATGCTGATGTAATATTTAGTCTCATGCGTGCAGATGCTTACACTGGACATAAATGGCTTTACCCAATATGCTAAAGGTCAAAGAAGGTCAGGATCCTGAGGTTAGAATGAGAGGAAAGAAGAAAATTGGCAAATATCGCAATTTGCAGTGGCATAATCTAATATTAATGCCACTGCAAGATTTTCTGATATCGTGCAACTCAAAACAAAATCTGACCCCTGTCCTACAGGAACGAATCGACACATAGTTGCTGAAAATATATCTTCTGACTGGAAGCAATTTTTTTGCGTGGTTGTTCATACTGCTAACTAAATGTGACTGCAGTCAGACTTCTGAAAGCCCGTATGCGCAGAAGAAGAAAGTTGTATCGCACAGCGGTGCTCTGTTTACAGAAATAAGTCAACATTATTGTCAGAAGATTATAACAAGGCAAAGGAAGTTAACAAAAAGAAAGCAAAAGTAATTGAAATGGCCTTTTGTGGAGCATTTACTGTAACTTCTGTAGAGAAGTTACAGAAGGTGCTTTGTTAAACCAGCACCAGAGTGACAGAGCTCTTTTATAAGTTCATAATCATAATTTTCAGCCGTTATTTATGTCTGTATTTATTTGATCTGATTTCTTCTGGTGCAGAATTGTGACACGTCTCACTTCAGTGTTGGATAAAGAGCGTCGCGACCCTTCTGACTACAAACTCTTTGAAAACTGTGGAATGCAGATCTAACGTAGTAAAACATAAAGACGTGGCGCAGATCAGATTTTTTTTTTTTTTTTTTTTTTTTTTATTTGGGTGAAAAGGTCAGAAACGATCCGTTCAGATTGCCGTGAAAAAGTTGGATTTGAGTCGGATTTGGTTGCCTTAGTGTTTTACTGAAACTTCAGGGCTTAACAGAATAACATTTTAAGGCTTTTTGAGATGTTGGCAACAGATTTAGTGTTGTTCAACGAAGCAAGTTCAGAGATGAACACTTTTTGCCGTTTCTCACTTTCCTCGTTTCCTTTTTCCCTGCAGCAATGTAACGACGTGGGTCTCATGGCCTACTTAGGCACCATCACCAAGACCTGCAACAGTATGAACCAGTTCATCAACAAGTTCAACGTCCTGTATGACAGGCAGGGCATCGGCCGCAGGATGAGAGGACTCTTCTTTTGAGCTGACAGGGAGGCAAACACTCTTTTCTGTTCTCTCTTTTTGTTTGTGTTCCGATCAATTAAATAAAATAAAAAAAGATTTTTACACCTTCAATCTATACAAAACCACTCAGATCAGTTTAAAACCTCTCCACAGCAGTGAGATCGCTGAACATGGACGTTATTTTACCCGGTTCGTTTTATTGTTTCACGTTTCTGTATGTAATAAAATGTTTTTTTTTCATGGTGCTTTGTGTCTTCTTCCAGAAGGTAATTTTTTTTTTTTTTTTTTTTAACAGGGCTTTTACTATAGTAATTATAGAGACCCCAAAAATGTATAGGTCAGCAGTTTTAAAGAAGCTCGTGAAAGTTTTGTAATGTGAAGCTGTGGGTTTATTATTAGGAGCTTTGAGGGTTTTACAATCAACTCGTTTGTGTTTTTTTTTTTTTTGAAGTTGTGTTCCTGCTGCGTGATTGCCTGCAGAGGGTTGAAGGAGGCAGGTAAACGTGGCAGCACAGGAAGCCACTTATAGCCGTAGAGACTAACGTGGATAACCTGAGTCAGCATTTGTTTGGGTATTAAATGCACAGCAGAAGCCGACATAATGACCCCCCTGCTTGCGTGTTAAGCATTTACAAGGTTTGTTTTTTTAGCTGCCATGTGGCTCTGAGAGGAGCGAACCTTGTTCTTGCATCATTTTGCACCTTTTTAAAAGGCGAAATTTAACTCAATAAGTGATGAAAACCAAATTTCTCTTATTTTATTGCCTCTTTACTAAAACACTGGCTGACAACAGCATTTTTTTTACATTGTGACAGTGATGATAAATACAATAAGATGTCTTTTTAATCATATCAACACATTTCTTTGACACCAGATGAATGTTTCAAAGTCCGTGGAAACAAGAGACTTTTTTTTTTTTCTCTCAGGCAGTGAGAGGACTGCTCACTTGTCACCAGGCTGGTCAGCAGCATCATCTGGCTGGGGGTACTGGAAGCGGACCGGGTCGTACAGTTCATCCCTGGGGTCAAAAGAGTGGGGGTGAAAGTAGGGGTACGGGTGGAAGCTGAGTTTCTTCTCTTTGAGCGGAGGAGGCACTGGCTCCTCCACAGCCTCCTCTTCTTCCTCCTCGGGTGGAGGAGGAGGTGGGGGCGGGGGGCCCACGATCTTTCCCTTGATAGGTCTTGGAGGGTTGTCAATCAGGCAGTCTGGGTCCCAGTAGGGGTCGCAGTCGTACTCCATACCCTTGAAGACGTGGATGGGGGCTGGAGGAGGAGACTTCTTGACCAAAACCGGAGGAGGCGGAGGCAGCTTCTTGTGATGAGGTTGCTTAGGAACCACCAGCGGGGGCGGCGGGGCTTTCTGCGGGGTACAGTGGGGGTGGTACCGAGGGTCGCAGAGCACCGGAACGGCACCAGTGGGCAAGTAGACGATGTGCGGCTTGCAGAGAGGGTCCTTGTTGTTGCAAAGGAAAAGCACATCGGCCTGGGAAATGGCTGGAGCAGCAGGAAGAGGAGGCGGACCCTCCGTAGGACTGATGGGCTTTGGGACTCCTTTCATCGGAGGTGGTGGAGGAGGAGCGGCGTATTTGCACCTCTTGTCTGTGACTGGGTCGCACATGATCATTGGCACGCCCAGTTTGCTCTGGAAGTAGGAGGCGTTGGGGCCGTAGGCGTGCTCCAGGTACCTCATCTGCTGGTAGAGCATCCGCAGCTTGTCGATCTCATAGAGCTGAGAGGACAAAGGGCAGAGATCAGTGTGGTTGTCACAACCTACAAGTATGCAGAAAACTTTGTGGATAATCTGTTAATATAAAAGAAAAAAAAATTGCAATTGTGGTGTTTCCATTAGATAAGAAACTCAATTAAAATCACGTGAATAGGTTTAGTCACGCAATAAGACATTAAAATCACTTTCTGTCAACTTCTTCATCTAGTAACATCCAGTTGTTGATCATGTGACTCGTGTGATCCAAAAAAAGTGTTTCCATTGGTAGCGTTGCAAAGTACACAATTTTTTTTTATACAGCCGAAAAACCACCTCATCATAGTGCAGTAACACTTTAATTTTTTTTAATTGCCGTATTTTCTATTAAGCAAATTTATTTTAGTAATTTAAATATGTAAAATTTTAAAGTCAGTGGAAACGTCGCTAATCTCACCCTTTAGGTAGGGTTGTCAAACTCATTTTCACTTTAAGACATATCAAAATTATGAATATTCTCATAGGGCCAGTTGTACTAGGATGTGTTGATAAAACCCATTGACAAATTGTTAAAATATTAATAAATAGCTGCCTCTGCATTCAATAAGTACTGCTTAAGATAAAAAAATAAATTTCGAACGAATTATCACATTAAAGTAATTTGACGGTATATGGGTAAAAACAGCTTTGATTTGATTAACACACTATTTAAGAACAGTTATCTTGAAGGTTCTGTTTATGTGGCCCTCTAGAGTCCGGAGGTCCACATAAAAAGCTATGGCGGTCCGGAGTTGGCCCTCGAGCCTTGAGTTTGAAACATAGAAGGAGCTGTCTGTGTGTGAATCTCCAAACAAAACTATCAGACCAGATACATTTTTATTTTAGCACTTTAGACACTTGACATCAAGGTGAGAGGACGTTTTGTGATTTTCACACCACAATGTAACTTTAGATTATTTCTGTGTTCCTTTAAACAACGGATTTAGAATTAAACACTTACTGTTGTGTTTAATTCTATTAAAAGTACAATAGTTATAATAGTTCTATGTGCCTGCTAGCACAGCTGTTAGCCAAAAACCACTGATGGGGTCGGTTGTCAGTCACGTGACATTTGAAAAACAAACGGCAGCTACTCAAAACGTAATTAAAGAAAAAAAATATCTCTCTTTAACTGAAAAGAAAAAGTGAGCAAATAAAATAATAGAAATTTTGCTTGGAAATATTCTGTTCCATTGTAAACAACTTGATTCTGGTTTTGGTGTTGAAGTGGTTTGATGTTGACATTATTGTGGAAGGTTGTTACCCCCTCGGTGTGCCCGATGCTGCTGTAGTATCTGTAGTACGCCTGGAAGTCCGGGTTTCCTCGGTACCACCTGGGGTCCGCCGCGTTGCGCTTCGGTCTGGAGTGAGACAGGAACTCGTTGGCTTTCTCCGAGTGGATGCTCACATCACTCAAAGGCACCATCTCTGTTAGAAAACCCCACCCACCATATATAAAAATATATATATCAAAGGCTCTGCTTAAATTAAAATGCTTTAAGGGATTTAGGATCTGTACCTTCTTGTTTGATGGCACTGAGCAAAGATTTGGCCTCCAACAGGCCTGCGAAAGGAAATACGTTGATTGATTATTGAATAGTGGTTTCCAAAAATAGCTGCAAAGTGAAAGAAATCAACACTGACCTGAGAGAAAGAAGAGGCCGCATAGCAGTCCCAGCAAGCAGGTTAAAGAAATCATGTTGAACCTGCAGCCCATAAAACAAAAAAAATGGTACAAAAATGTACAATTTATTTATACAATAACCAGCTTACAGGTCCTCTTCGTATTGGATTGTCTTAAAAATGTTTTCCATTTCAAAAAATGCTAAGAAACTAGCACATATTAGTATTTGTATTTAACATATTTAAAAAACAACAAAAAAAAAACATATCCTAATCTTTAAAGTACAGCTTAAACACAATTAACTGAATAATGTAGCTGCAAATTTTTCACGATGCAAATAAATGTTCCACTTACCAGGCCAAGGAGGCTGTGTTCACTGGTCCAACAGGACCGGTGGGCTAAATATCAAACCCCTCTGTCCTCCTTTCAGTAACTTTATCCTCTGTCCAATTGGATTTCCCCAAACTTTCAGACCAAAATCTTGTCTCCTCCTCTTCAAAAAAAAATGTTTAAAGTGAAGCCCCTTCAGCACCAATTAGGAATATAAAGCCTCTGGACCAAGGCCATAAACAACAAGACTTCAAATGGAAACACCCCATTAGGTCTGGAAGGAAATCATCACCTGCTGGGACCAACTACAAGCATGGAGAAAAAAAAATGCCTCAGCAGGAAAAAAAAAATCTGTAAACAGAACCATAGATCACAACCATAAAGGTATATTTATAAAGTTTTCCAGGTTTTTAAAACATAGTTATGTCCTCCAAGTGGTTATTTCAGTTGTAAGAACACCTGCTTTCCCAGCAGCTCCACACCTGAGGACAGCTACCGAAACAGCTGCATTTTCACTTTTTGCCTCAGCTTGTTCACTATTAAAGTGCTTAGAATTGTGCAGCATTCTTTCACAGAGATGTAATTCCATATAAACCTGACTTATCAGCTGCCGTTTTTCTAACATGGAAAAGTCACATACCCATGCAGAAATCTGGTAACCTCAATTACTGCAATGAATATCCCCCAAGTCCACAAGCGTCTTGAAAGAGTGTTTTCAGCTAGACTTTGAATGTTTATTTGAATTTCAGGTAAAAGACGGATGTAAAGTAAGCAAATGCTTGTGAAGTGGAAGAAAATGATAAATGGTTTCACAAAATTTTTCAAATAACTTGAAGTCTGGCATGAACTCTGATACGCTTAAGAATATTGGTTACCTTTTCACAGTGATCTTGTTTTTTTCTTTAGTAAGAAATAAGAAAAAAAAAAAAGCTGAAGAGGTTAAGTACTAGTTCTCTTTTTGCAAATTAGTTTTCCTGCCTGGATTAACTGAACATAAGCCCGGTATTAATATTTCACTTTCCATGTGCATAAAGAAGTCAAAGTGAACATGAGGAATATTGAAGCATTTATTATAACTCTCCTCAAATACAGGGCACAACATTAATTTTATTTGCATTACAATGTATAAAATATACAGAAATTCTCAATGTGAAATAGATCACATTGTCAACTGCAGATACAACACTATACTATGTTCTGACATACATATTTACAAGCAGTTTAACAGGTTTCTGGAACATTAGCAAAGGGGCCCTAAAGAGCACACATTCTTTCAAAACAGACGGGCATAAGCAAAAGTCCACGTTCTGCCTGACTTGTGTTACAAAATGCAGGAAGAAGGAAGAGAGAGCGGGTCGGAGCCTGTGGAAGGCGGCGGTTCAGACGAAGGTGATCCTGGTGCGGGCCTGGTTGATCT